TAATAATATATTACTATGAAAAGTAACAGATATGTTATTCAAGGTGCAAATTCGAAATGAACATACATACATATATATAAGTAAAACATTACAATTTGCAGATTACAATTTTCTAGAAAATAATTGCGATATGTTATACTTAGTGCACAAAATAAAAAAGTCGTTTATTGGGATTTCATTTGAAATTTATATTAGCCTGTACAATGAAAAATAATTGCTTGTAATATGACTCGGAAAAAGAACATGACGGCCTGCTTTCAAAAGACTTTCGATGGATTTAAATTAAGGTTATGAAAATGGTTTACCTACATTAAAAAAGTCTTTAATTTTTTTTTAGTCAAGTTTCTAATTTTTGTTTGTTCTGCCGGTTTTGAGTTGGTTATATTATAGCATAGATAAAAAAATTTATCAATTTAACTCTGAAAAGTAAGTAATATTCTTCTTAAGGTGGCAATACAAAATGTAATAGTGTTTAATTTTATTAATTAAATGTAATGTAACAAACAAAATTTAGAAACTTGACTAAAGAAAAATTAAAGACTTTTTTTAATGTAGGTAAACCATTTTCATAACCTTAATTTAAATCCATTGAAAGTCTTTTGAAAGCAGGCCGTCATGTTCTTTTTCCGAGTCATATTACAAGCAATTATTTTTTATTGTACGGGCTAATATAAATTTCAAATGAAATCTCAATAAATGACTTTTTTATTTTGTGCACTAAGTATAACATATCGCAGTTATTTTCTAGAAAATTGTAATCTGCAAATTGTAATGTTTTACTTATATATATGTATGTATGTTCATTTCGAATTTGCACCTTGAATAACATATCTGTTACTTTTCATAGTAATATATTATTAGATTTGGATAATAACACTCTTTTTGTATGTTCACTTTAATAATATATCAGTTACTTTTCATGGCAATTTATTATTGGAGAAATAAATGTATTTGAATTAATTGTGATATAATTTTTTTAAAAAAGAACTAAACCACTTGGTTTGGAATAGGAAGGTCTTTTAATAAGAATAGAAAGACATATACTTAGATTTCATTGTATATATGAAGAAAGATAAAGATAGTACTACATGGGTTTTACTATTTATTTTGTTTTAAGAAAATTTAAACCATTTGGATTGAAATAGGAAGATCTTTCAATAAGAACTACATGGGTTTTACTATTCAATTTAATAGAATTTAATAAGAATAGTACCACATGGGTTTTTAAAGACAGTAGAATTTAACTTGGCGCCGACTATTGATATCAGATCTTTTATACAAATGATACATGTCATTATATATGAGGATAAAGATAGTACTACATGGGTTTCATAGAATAACTTGGCGCCGACTATTGATATCAGATCTTTTATACAAATGATATATGTCATTACATGAGGATAAAAATAGTACTACATGGGGTTTTATAAAATAACTTGGCGCCGACTATTGATATCCGATCTTTTATACAAATAATATATGTCATTATATGAGGACAAAGATATAGTACTACATGGGTTTTACTATTTATTTATTTTAAGAAGAATTAAACTATTTGGATTGAAATAGAAAGATGTTTCAATAAGAATAAGAACTACATAGGTTTTACTATTTAATTTAGTTGAATTTAATAAAAACAATACCACATGGGTTTTCAAAGATCTTTTATACAAATGATACATGTCATTAGATCTAAGTTTACAAATGATACATGTCATCAGTTAAGAACTACATGGGTTTTACTATTTAATTTAGTAGAATTTAATAAGAATACTTTACTGGTTAATTAAATAAGAATATTTCACTGGTAAATTAAATTGAAAAATCCCACCGCCACCCCCATCGTCAAATATATTTAATTTAGTAATACAGTTTTAATAAAATGTGGTATCAAAACGATGGTCGTCTGTATGTAAATAAATTATTATCTTTTTGTATTAACATAATGTACACCTTATATTTCATTACTTTCTTAGAGAGAGATATGTCAATTTTATTTTATTAAAATTCTAGTTTACATCATGGTCTATTAAACAGCAAATATAATTAGTTGATTCTACAGCCGATTAAGTAATTGGGGTTGGTGAAACTGGCTCAAACGGTTTTTTATCAGAAGCACGCACTCTTAACGCATTTTCTACCTTTTTTAAAAAGGTAAATTTTTTAGTTTTTTTACGTGGATAGAGAGAATTTAACTTGGTATAAATTATTATTATGTTTTAAACATATTAAATACATGTGGCTTGTTATATATTTTTGCTAATATTTTTCTGTAAAAATAATATAGAAATATCTTTAGCACCTCTAGGCCATTGTCTTTTTATAACTTGTGCATCATCAATTTCAATCCAAGATGTTCCTTCTTTACACATGCTTGTATAATGACCCTCATCGATACACGAACCGTAATGAGATATAGCATTCATAACTTTAAATGTCTGTCCAGCTATTATTATTTTCGTTGTAGGGACAGCACGTAAACTAAATTTGTGTGGTATCTTTACTGATTTACCATCCTCTGAAGAAAATGATGTTAAGTTGATAATAAGTATCTCTTTCGGCGGAACTAATTCACTTTTAAATAATACATCGTTTCTTCCACAACATTCACATAATTTATCAAATGTCTGACACCAAGATGATGAAAACGTAGTTTTCAATAAATCATTAAGATCATAACTTTTTTTTAGCACATTTACTGCACTTTTCATGTCGTATAACAGTGTCTGCAATATGACTTGAAATTAGCCGAGTTATC